TTCAGCTTAGAGAAACCTGCAAAGATTGAATTGATTCAGCCTCGGGCTTTTGGACTGGCTGTGCTTAGCCATGGAGAGGAAGGGGTAGCCATGCACTGATACCAGGAACGTATGCAGAATCTAGCTGCAGCAGCAGCCCTCCCACACAAGCTCCGCTACTTGACAATAGCCAGGCTGTAACCAGAGGATTCTTGGTAGCAGGGGAGATGGTAAAAAGGTAATCACATGTGGGAGAAAACACCCCGTAAAGAAGACATCGTGTAAGTAGAAGCTCCTGAAAGAGAATGACAGCAAGCACAAAATATGAAGCTGATGTGTACATAGCAAAGCACAAAGACAGAAGCCAGCTGCCAAGTGACCTTGAGGAACCAGTACTTCAGCATTTCCAGCCCCACCTCATCAAGGCCCGTAAGATTTAAAAAGATAATTTTGGGGAAGTTGCAGGGGAAGAGGAAGGAAGAATAATGTGAATTCTGAACCTTAGAACAGTGATTTTATCTGGAGTGATGAGCCCTGGAGTGATGTAATATCCTCTCAGGGGTGTCACACTACATTAGCACTGTCAGGCATTGGCGACGCGAAGGGGGTGCACCTCCGGAGACTGGCCATGCACCCCCCTGGAAATGCCAGCCACAAAACTGGAAGTGCTGGCAGAAATGCACTTCCAGTTTCACCACTAGCGATTTCGGGCTAGGCGATCAGCCATTGGGGGACGCCCCCCGGTCAGTGATCTGATGCCTCCCTAGACTCGGGAGGCATGGTCAGCATATTTTTAACTTGGATTCTTACTTGAAATCTTTGGGTTTATCTTGTAACTCATATCTGCACACCTAACAGTGCTAATATTGAGCCCCATGACACCCTTGAAAGGATCTCAGTGTACCATGGTTGAGACTTGCCCCTCCCTCCCCACAAACTCAGTTCCCTATGCTGTTAGGTGTGCAAACACCTACAAATGATTCACAAGATAACCCTAGAGATTTCAAATAGGAATCCATAGTGTCAAAAACATGCTGACTTGTTGTGGTCTTTGAGTTCTTGAAACAAGAACTGCTCTAGTGTTTTTCCATGGTCAAGAGAAGAATGAAATTCATTTTTCAAAAGGAGTGCTGCTAAATTCAGAAAAGCCACGAAGAGGTGCCTTGAGTCAGACAAGGTTACTGCTTTAGACAGAGTACTTCATATTACTGAACCTTCCCTGAGCAAGGAGGACTAGAAATTCAAAAAAGTTATGAATAAAAATGCTTTTGTTTTTATGAAAGCATGTAGTTCTAGGAGGCAAATACCTAACTACTTGCAGTCAGTACTGTACTTAGACTCCTGGTGGTCTTAGGTGAATTTTTAGTATCAGGCCCCCCTTTACCAGAGATAATGATTATAATAATTAGACAACAGGAAAAAAAAAAAACCATTTTCAGGCCCCTTTCTGTCCAGGCTCTGGCCAGCTGCTCGGTTTGCCCAGGTCTGCTTGCAGTGAATGTGACAGACCTAATCTGAATGTTAGTTTGAGAACTTTACATGCAAGCTACATGTGTGCATTTTTGTACACAAACCATTGTGAAGCATTAGGTCTCAATACTCTTTTTCCAGGGAGAGGAAAAAAAGAAATGCAATGTCCATGCATGCAGAGAAGCCATTAAAAATTTGCTTTTAGAAGTATTTCAGTTTCATCTCAGTTCTTCCTGATTTGATTGTCCCCAAGCTAGTGCCATTTCAGAGTGAGCAGAGACCTGTGCCTTAAAAATGACTGAGTACTGAAAACGAGGAGGATTTAAAAAAGACCTTTGATATGTGCATAAGCCTACTGGTTTTCATTCCTTATCTTTCCTTTTGCTTTGCCTCTGCTGCCCACAGCTTTCCCCACCCTCTCCTGGAATCCTTTGACCACCACCCTAGTAGGGACCTGCAGAGACTGGAACGAGAGCCCACAAAAGCAGGAAAACCAGAAAGAGCGGTGCAGGATTCCTTCCAGGCTGGCTTGACAGCATTGTGCCACAAGCCTGTTCTCTCCTGGTCATCTGGTTTCAGCAGCACAGCCAGCTTGGAGTTTCTTTTCAAACTGCAGCCCCTAGTAGCCAGCAGCTACTGGATCAAACACAGCTTATATTTTAGGGCACACATGCATTTGTGCACATGCATGCACACACCCACACTCTAGCAGGAAGCTTGTAGACACCCTGTATGAATAGGAAACAAACCACAATTGGCAAAAAACCCAAAAGCAGCTATAGGCAAGCTTTTCTGGCTGTGGGTGAAAAGGACCTGCCCTAGGCAGGCACCTGGCCCTGGCTGCCACCACTTTTCTCCATGGTAGCACAGGGAACCTCCTGGGGAGGGCAGGGGAGCCTCCTGCCACTGAAGCCTCCTGAAGACCAATATGCACTAGATCAGCTCTTGGACTGTAGGGTGTCAACCCTTGACCTAAAACTTCAAAGTAGAACACAAGTTTGGGGGTGTTTTAGATCAGCAGTTTAAGCCAATCTCAAGATTTCGGCTTGCTTGGGGTAGACAGTATTGAGAAAGAAGCAGCCTGGCTTTTATTCCCTGTTCTGCAATGGAAAGGAGTCTGCTATCTTATCTTTATGCAGAGGTCAGTACTAAATCAAAGCATTTCCAGAGATGCATCTGTACAATCCCTCCCTACCTTCAGCTATGAAAAAAAATGGGAGATAAGAGGGGAGCCTAGCAGTTCTCAAAGCCCAGCAAGTTCAGCACATGGTGCTTTAGAGGTCTTCATCCTGCAAGCCACTTCTCCAGGCACGTCAATGTGAGAGACAGCTTCCGGAAAGGGCTGTACCAATCCATTAGATATCATCAGCTTGCAGAGGCTTTTGGGGTAGTCAGATCAAGCAAGCACTTGGCATGGAAACCTGGAGGAGAAGGTGTAAATCTACAGGGCAGAACAGTTTGTGAGTTTGCAAAAGGGAAAGGGGTCAGCATCAGCTCAGAAGCAACTATTTGCTAGCACCAGACCACTTACCAGTCCCTTGCAGTAGTCAGCTCTAGGAGATGCATTAAAAAAAAAAAAAATCTGAGAACCACCAACATAGCTGCTTGGGTCAACGCCTACAGGAGTATTCAGAATCAGCAGTGCTTATGGTCATGCAGTAAAGTCTGAATGCATAAAAAGCCCCTGCCACTTAATCAAGGCTGGCAGCCTTCTGCTGTTTTCTCCCAAAGCAGACTGCATGCACAAGATACCATCCCTCAGACTGAATACTGATGACGACTCCACAAAGGTGAGAGGATACATCCGTGTTCAAGTCCTTTACCCCTTTCTGTGATGCAAGTAAAAGAAAGGTCTCCTTTCCAGTGCAGAGACCCAGCTTTTCTACAATACGATACTTCATATGCAGACACCAGCAGCTCACAGCAAGACAAGCATGGAGTTGCAAACTTTTCAAACACAGGTCCACAGTTTCATGCAGGTGTTCACCACTCCACCCCTGAATTTATTCAAGATCCTTGGCAATGAGATTTTTCCAATTTGGCTTTTTTAATAAAGCTTTGGGGGAAAAATATACAG